AAATATTGCTATTTTTTTTAGAAAATGATTATAAACTTGAGTATGCATTAAAGATATTAGTTGGAAATTATAAAATATTTCCCAATATTTGTAGAAATTGTGAATGTCCATTAAAGTGAAATATGTATATTAGTAATATATAACGTCGTTATAAATATTCGAAAATGTTTGCACAAATCAAAATTTCATGGCTAAATATATTTAAAAAATCATACACGTGAAAAATCTTGCTCTGAATTTGCGTATCAGCGTTCGGAAAAAATATATTATAACACAGTACAATATAGTAAAGTACGAAAATTTTGAATACAATAATCTAATACAAGAATATATATCCATTTGGAAGCATATACCATTACGCTATTACAATCTCTATACTCGAAAAATATTAATTGATTTAATTTTTTCCATTTTCATCCTTTTTTCTATTTTATATAATTAAGAAATTACGTATTGTGAATTGTGCTTCAAATATATAGAAATTATATAGCAAATGTTATTTAGAATGAATAAAATTTTACCAACTTTCCATGAAAGTTCATCAGATTGTCCATTAATGATTGTGGCGTCTATGCATTCTATGCTATCTTTGCAACCTGCACAAGAAGAAACAAAAAGTTAGAACAAATATGTCAAATGGAAACAAATATGTAAAAGTGAAACGATAATCAGCTTCAAATTCTATGAAAAAAGCATACGAGACAAAGTATTAGTAACTGCTAGAGTGAAATCGATGGTCGAAGAAAAATCAACAAGGAAGGTTCAAAATCTTACTCGATTTCGTTACCTAAATGTTCAATGAATCATCAAATATACGCGTGTAAATTAAATAATACTATTAATGAGGTATAAATGGAAGAAGGGACGCCATCGAAGAGACGATAGATTAGAAAATGTTACGAACCTAATGCGACGTAATACGTGTTACTGTCTTAAAATTCAATAGTTGAATGACTTGTCTCGACTTGTGTCGACAAAGTGGTAACAAAAAGTCGAAAGGGAGTCACGCGAATAAACAAGTGCAACATTAAGAGCTTTATACAGACATGTAAGCGTTATATTTATTTTGTTTTGAACGCGGATTTCGAGCTTCAAGGCCTTGTACGCCTTGTTTTGTTTGAGAAATGAAAACTTCTATTATATTATGCGGTGAAATTATTATTTTAGCTATTAAATACGTACATTCTTAATAAATTATTGTTAAATTTAATATAAGAAGAATGTTAAGAATTACGCAATATAAAATTAAAGAATCAACAAATAAGTAGAAAATGTTATAATAAATAATGTTATAATAAAATAATATATATATATACATGTATTTTATTATATGCCTTTATACACACTTTTATTATAACATTTTCTACTTATTTGTTGATTCTTTAATTTCATATTGCGTAATTCTTAACAATTCTTACATTAAATTCAACAATAATTTATTAAGAATGTATGTTTAATAGTTAAAATAATGGTTTTACTGTATTTAATTTTATACAAAAACTTAATTTCAATTCTAATCAGTACAAACATATACATATACATGTAACAATGAGTTACTCAATTACAAGGTTACAAGGTTTGTACTGGTAGAATTAAAATTAAATTTTGGTACAAAACTATAAATAACTTTTAGCATAATATATTCTATTTAAACGTTTCTATGCTACTATTTCATTAATTGTTGAAAATTATATGTAATAATTATTTAGTTAAATCATACCTTGAATTCGAGCCAAAAATGCACCTTTTATTTTAGAAATACAAAACACAAACATAAATCTAACAACTATTGATAAATTTTTACCTGAGAACTTCTGGTAAATACTTCTTTCTGAATGAGTTTNTATTATTTAGTAAAATTAATATTATTATTTATATAGAATTGAAATAAAATTTTGGTACAAAACTATAAATAACTTTTAGCATAATATATTCTATTTAAACGTTTCTATGCTATTATTTCGTTAATTGTTGAAAATTATATGTAATAATTATTTGGTTAAATCATATCTTGAGTCAAAAATGCACCTTTTATTTTAAAAATACAAACTTTATTTTAAAAACACAAACATAAATCTAACAACTATTGATAAATTTTTACCTGAGAACTTCTGGTAAATACTTCTTTCTGAATGAGTTTTCTGAATAACACTTTCTTCTTTACAGACGAGGAATGCTTTCTTCCGCCATGATTCCCGTTTAAAACTCGATCATGAGAAATATCGATTATTTCGAGAATCATAGGAAGTACGTTACATATTTCGCCGTTGGGGCGCTGTAATCGCTCCTTTCGCACGTAATGACGACTTGGAATAAAAAATAAAAAGAGCTCTGGTCTAAATCAAATACACAAAATTGATGAGACATTTTTAAAAAAGAACGAAAATATTCCTGATGAAAAATTGTCAATACTTTAAATTGCGACATAAGAAATTTTATTATACTACACAATAAAATAATTATTTTAACTATTAAATACATACATTCTTAATAAATTATTGTAGAATTTAATATAAGAGTTGTTAAGAATAAAGTATGAAGTTGAAGAATCGACAAATAAATAATTATTTTACTTTAGAGGACTACAAATTATACACTGTTTTTGGTAATCTGACAAATTTCGATGAGATAAAGCCAAAAAAGTTTTATCTTACAAATTTACAACACAAATGCAAATTTATTGATTTAAATTTTTACCTGAGAACTTCTGAATGATATTCCCTTCTTTCTGGATGATTTTTCTGGACAATTCTTTCTTCTTCACAGATGAGGTGTGCTCCTCTCCGCCATTTTTAACCGCCACTTTCTGATTTAAAATCGATCATTGAAAAATATCGATTATGGTCGAGAATTGTAGGAAATATATTACGTATTTCGCCGTTGGCGCTGTAATCATTAACTTAATACGCGCGCATTTTGAAATGTTAACTTGAAATAAAAAATAAAAAAAACTCTAGTCTGAATTCATGAGAAATTATCAAGAAAAAACAAAAATATTCATACACTAGATAAAAAATTGTCGATACTTTAAACTATTATAATTTCGTGAAAAAAATTATAGAACAATTGACTTGATTTAACTTTAAAATTTAAAGAATCTCCACTTTAACAATCTTGAACTTGTTTCGTTCAAAGATATTTATTTTTACATCATGCAGCAAGTGTAAAAGTAAAAATACTTTTCGAAAATTGTAAAAATTCAAACGTCTCGCCGATGAGAAGTTTTTCTATCACTGAATAATTTTTCTTCATGATCAGATCAATCATGATCTTGAAAATTGAAATCTTCCCTTCAGTGAGCTCTTAAAACAAACTGTATAATTTGTTTTCGTCTTTACTGAACTTTAACAATAATTGATTAATTTTTAACGAGTTATAACAACGTATGCAAGTCATTGAATTCATCTTAATAAATGACTTTGAAATTTAGAAAACGGACGATCTGCAATTTACACCACACAATATAACTTTACATCAAACAATATTTATAGAAACATTTCTTTGATATTTCCAAGCTTTTATAAAATCGAGTTTGCAGATTTCATTCAGACTTTGAAGTTACACACTAAAATAAGTAAAAAACATCATATCTAATTCATCTAATTCATATCTAATTATGTTATTAAAAAGTATATTTCAATCAATTTTTTCTAATACCTTTAAATAGATGTAAATAATCAAATATATAATAAATTTTCCATTCCAATTTCCATCAATCGTCGTTTTAAATTGTTGTATTCTTTCATGGATGAAAGAATCACCATGTTCAATGAAAATTCAATTTAAGTAACTCTTGAAGTATATGTGACAATACTCTCCATATATTTTTATTTTAATTCTTATCACTAGCATTGACTGGAGATAGGATAGACTGAACATTAAATTAGGCTTCGTCTCTTAGGACACAAACGAGATATATGAAGAAATACCTCGTCTGTGATCTCGTTTGTGGGTTTAGCCAGAAAGGAATACATAGCGCTATCCCTCATCAGTGTGATATATAAGAGAAAACATATCCTTGGATAACTAGCACATTAAAAAATATGAAAAAACATTATCATGAAAAATTATCATTATATTTAATTCTTTACATAATATATATTTAAATGTACGTGATCTTTATGTCTATGGTTTTAAAGGAATGATTGGCCAATATTGAGGCTTTGCTTTATCTTTGTGTCTATCAACTGTAGCTTGAAGAGCAGTTTCCATTGCTAATATCGTAGAGCTAGCTTCGCCATATAATAATTTTGCATTACTATTTCTTGCTTGCATCCATGCAGCTCCACCTTGGATACTTATATTTTCTTCTTCCTCTTCTCTTTTCTTAGTAAGTGTTTCTGATTCTCTTAATTTTCTCAATTCAAATTTATGTCTCATACTTTGTTCTAGAAAACTCATCATTTCTTCATCTACATGAAATTCTAAATTTTCTGCTTCTTCGTTAGATCTAGTATCTTCACATTCTTCTATTACATCCTGATGTTTATATCCACTCCTTTTTCTTTTATGCGAGTCATGCTGCTGATCATTTTGATTACAAATTCTTGGTATCAAAGATTTCAATTTATCTCTTAATATTTGATTTTCATATTCCAAAGCAATACATCGAGTCCTCCACCAAGTTATGCTATGTCTAAAATTAACATTATTTATTAAGATATTTTCTCATTCGCACTTTTGAACATATTCCTTAACACGGGATTACCCACCTGGGGGTGCAGGTATATCCTGGCACTAGACCCCCACGTGGGTAATCAGAGGTTAAAAATTTAGCAATTTTTGCCATTACGTATAATTAATAAATAATTAATAAACAACCAACCTTTTTTGCCATTCTTGAGCAGCTGTATAATTTTCCCAAAAAGAATTAGCTTGCATCGTATTGACAATTAACTTTTCTCTAGCAACAAAACTATTATTACTTTCTGAAATAAATCCTCGACGTTTAGCAAACTTAACCTCAAATTTTATTTGTTCACGACGTTGCTTTTTCAAATTTTTCCTCTTCCTCCGATTTTTTCCGCGCTTTAGACAAACAAATTCCATATCTTACACTGTTTGTTAAATGAAAAAAGAAATTATGATACTAAAAATATCATTGTTAACAAATTTATACAAAACCACGGAAATTATGATCGACGAGACATCCAAATACAACCTCTTACAAACATGAACACAAATTAGATCTTCCATTTATGTTGTAATACAAGCATTATATATATAATTGACAAGTGATATCAAAAACCTAATGTTTGATATGAATTATTACATAAAATATATGAAAATAATCAATGACAAATAGATATTATACAATTTTATATATTGTATTTTATATATTAATATAAATATATTAATATTTATATTAATACTATATATTTACTTATTAATCACAATTGATCGTGACATTTTCAACTTTTTCAGGTACATATCATATGATAATCTGTATAAAAATATTATAAACTAGATTTATATCTGTATTACTAGTATCTGTATTATAAACTAGATAGACTTTATATTTGTAATCCATTCTAGATTTTTTATTTGGCAATTTTCTTTTCAAATTTTGGCAATTGTAAGAAAATTATGAAATCAAAGATTAAACAGGCGTTTTTTATTAGAAATATACAGGATAGTTGCAAGATTTTATACAGATTTGAGAAAGACATATTCAGAACTTAAATGAAGATGACACAAGCATTAACATCAGTAAAAGTCAAAATACACTGTAAATCATTTCTGTTCACGGACTTATAGATTTATGTGCATCAAAAGTAACATTTAGATACAAAATATGTACTTGTATGAAACTATCTCTTATTTATTAAATAATCTCTTCGTACTTACAGTGAATTTTATAAATATCTCAAAATTCAACGCTACTAACAATTATTTTCACTATAACTTTGTAAATTCACAGCAGAATTTCAACTTTGATAATTAAAATATGGATCATAATATCACATTTCGATCGAAATGATTCGTTTGATAAAGAAAATACGAAATCATTTGCGCAAGATAAAGTTCGTTGACTGCCCACAGGGCATCGCAGCATTGGTTGTAACAAACAATGCATATATGTTCATTTCGAAGAGTGTGACTACAAATATTATTTTTTAAAAGTAATAAATATTAAAAAATTGACTGTGTGATGAACAACGTTCATATTGATGCACAACGTTCTTCAAATTATTATCAACGGTCCTGTTCTCACAAGTACGATGAATTCATTTATATCGCTTTACGTCAAATGTAACTGTGTCAAATCCTAGAATGCTTTCTGTACTACTATTTTTTTCTGTATTTATATCATTTTCATCAGCTTCGGCATTATGATCAGAAGCTTCTATATCGTTTTCTATATCAATAACTGGTAACACATTATTTTGGACCTCAAGCCCAATTATTACTCGAATATTATCAGGCAATTGGTCCTCAGCCGAAATTAGTTGACAATAAATACCCTCTGCTTTAGACAATGTCGAAGACAAATCAATATGATTTGAAAGGTCATTTATGTGCTGCAAACCACATTATATATTAATTAAGGAGTAAATAAAGAATAAATTTCTTAACTATACATACAGTTTTAGCTTTACCTTCAATATTTCTGTAAGTCCATAATGATTTTCCATAAGAACATTTCTTTCTGTATTCAAAATAGCTGCACATATGAGAAGATGAAAATTTTTACATGGTAGATCAGTCCACAACACTTCCCATAATTTCATTATATCAACTGCACTAAATTCTCTTTTAAACAGTACCAAAAGCCAACGGAAGCAGAAAAACATATTTCCTGAATCATGGTTGTTCAAGTAATATGCTAATTGTGGATCTGTAGTACTCAAAAGAGTATATAATTGGCACAATTGAGTTTTCATCCCAGCTTGGTCAACTTCAAAATTGGGACTCTATTTTGTATATGATAAAATATGTTTGATTAAAATTTTATATATTGTTGTAATTCAAGATTTATTATATAAACATACCACTTTCTCCATAAAACCAACAAAACACCAAAACGCATCAACCTCACTTTCCATTAAACATAAAATGGGACTTAAAAGATCACTCATACCTTGCACATATCCCAAATCAAAATTATACATTACATAGGTCATTAAAATATCAGATAATTGTGCTAAATGAGGATTGTTATCACCCGAGTAATACGGATGTGTTCTATCTGTTCTATTCACATCCTTTTCTAAAATTTATATATTTTCACATATTATAATTTATATATTTTCATATTTAAATATTTTAATATTACCTATCAAATTCTTTCGATCTCGGTAATCAGAGAAATTATTCTCTTGTACAAGTGTCATAGATCTCCATTGTAATTTCATCGCAAAATATTCATCAGTCTTTCTTTTTTTAAGTTCTAATCTTTCAATATGCGTAGAATTCCACGGATAATAATTTAATAAAAATTTCCACACTTCAAAACGTAATGATGGTGTAATACCCTATAAAATTTCATAATCTCTTTAATTTGTCTTATTTATATATGTATATATGTGTGTTATTAATCAGTAATGCTTCAAATAAAATTCTACATTTTGTTTCCTACTTTCTTGATCTTTTTCTTTTTTTTTTAATAAAACAATCATTTTTCAAGAAACAAATATATATATTTAAACTCTATGTGCATACCCCATGAAAAATGATATCTTTTACTTCTTGAGGATTTAAAATTCTTCCTTCTGAGTCCTTAAATTTGTTCCACTGTTCTTGTGACAATGGCATACCTAATGTAATTATATTTATTTATATATTGTTGATAATATAATTTGATACAAGATTATTTCTACCATACCTCTTGGACAATGTGGTCTTGGGGGTAATACATCAAATTCATGATCCCCAATTACTTCATATTCGTCTCCAGAACTTACAGATGCTGGTAGAGCAGGAACATCATGTGTTAAAAATTCTGAAGCTTCTTCTGACGATTTAACTGGATCTTTGTATACTATAATTTAAAATTTACACAAAATCTGTTAAACCAGTAGAAATTACACAAGTAACATTTCTTTTATAACACAAGACATTTGTGACTTACAACAAATATCTGCCAGTTTACTAAATGCTTCCAACGTTGTTTCATATGGACGGTTATGTAAATTTCTTACAAATTTCCAAACATAATCTGAAGTATTTTCTTGGAATATATCCAATTCAGCAAATGATTTACTTAGTACTGATTGAACTTCATCTACTACAATGAATGTATTTCTATTTGTACGGGACTTTACAAAGTTAATAAATCCTTTTAAGGAGTTTAGAAAACTTTCAGCATTAGATAGCTGAAAAAAGGCAACATAGGTGGTACCATCCTTTTGCATAAATATAAGCTGTTGTCCTCCATGATTTATACGTAAGGAGTTTAAATCTGAAAATGAAATTCTAACAGTCCTTGTACGTCCCAGAGAATCTGGTCCTTCTGATGAAGTACGAGCACGTCTGACATGAGTATCTACCAAGGACCATTCTGAATCTTGATCTGGATTCTCTGATACTACAGAATCTTCTATAGGCTTCCATTCTATACATTTTCCAAAACTCTGTAATTTTAAAGAAAAGTATTTTATATTGTTTAAAATAATAAGTCGTATTCTAAACTGAATACAATTACTTACATATTCAACAATATTTAATGTGCCTAAGCTTTGAACTTCCTCTTCCTTTGTATTTGCATTTCGTAATACAACTCCCGTATGAATGCATAGGTCCTAATTATAAATTTAATTATTTAATACACATTATAAAATACATTATATTATTTAATACACATTGTATCAATAAATGGAAATAATTTTGTAAAAACATGTACCGAGGTTAAATGATATGATCAGATATGATGGCGTGGACATAACCTCACTCACAGGTTATTGTTACACGAAGCGTATGAATTTTATGCAAAATATATGATGACAACAATCTATAATTAATCTAGATACGAAAACGAATGATATTTAGCAAATTATATTTCTGCATAAGATTTTATTCACTCTTGTTGATGTATCGTAACTATCGCATGTGACTTGAATGTTTACGTTAGTTATGAAAGTGACAGGAAGTTTGACAGAAAGTGACGATTAAAATGTGAATATAGATAACAAGACTCACAAATGATTCTTACCTTTCCTTGTTCTGTAGCCTCGGACATCCTAAATGTATTTTTGTGTAAATCAGCACCCTGAACGAATAATGGCTGATTTCGTCGCATGCCTTTTATTGTCCAAATTCACTTTCTTTCTTCTCTTATTTATCTTTGTTCACTCGTATAATCATGTAAGCTATTTTTTACAAGAATAATCCTCTTTCTCTAGTCTTATTTTGATCGCAATTAACAAAAGAAGTATTTCGTCGTTGGCTCAAATGTATCTTCGGTAGCCAGAAGTCGCAAAACATTTCGTAATAGTTCAAATAACTCGTTGTAAACTATTTTCGATCGATACGAACCTTACATGAGAAATACTAAAAGATCGTAACATTCTACTTAACGTATGAATAAGCGTTCATTCGCGACCTCTACCATAAGAGTTCTTTACCACTGTTGCAATTTGCAACTGTTCATTCACTTCAGTGCTGTACCTTGTACAACCAAAGTTCGCGGCAAATTAATATTAATAAATTGAATGTTAAACGTAATGTATAAATATAATATCTATAATCGATTCTTTCTATAAATCAGTTTTATTTTGCGATTATAAGCCAGGAACATTTATTGGTTTCATAAAAAAATTTTATGCTTGATAATAATTTCAGATTGCCTTGGAAACACCTGTAAAAACTGCTATCTTTCATGCATCCTTGTGCAGTTTATTTGTATCATATGTATCATTTCATATGACAAAAATATCACTGAAAGAATGACTACCAATTCAACATTTTCATCAATTAAGGCGATTATTATCTTTGTCTTATTATCATTGACTCGAGCTAAGCAGTTAATCAAAGTAACAATACGTGATATTAGAAGATAAAAAGAAACCAATTATCTATTGACAAAAATAAATTACTTTTAACGATTTTGAAACGATTAATGTGAATTCCAAAGTTTTACACTTATTTGTTACATATATATTATTATAATTATAATATTACCTTTATGTAGAATATATAATTACATATATGTGTCACTTGTATAAAATATATTTTTTCCTTAAAAAAAAAAAAGAAAAAAAAACAGAAATACGTAAATATTATCTTCTGTATATTTTATATAAAAGGAAATTAATCGCTACGCTCATCTTGTTTGTACTATGGGCTTTATAACGTGTAACATTATTCTAACTTTATATAAATTGATGAAATGTAATTGATCATTAATCATTCATAATTGATGCTAATAAATATGTATATTATAATCATACATATTTTATTATGTTTTTTTTATAAAGTGATACTCTAATAAATCAGAAAGAAAATATGTAGACTCAATTTCAATGTGATATTAAGAAATCTTGAAATCAAAATACTTCGAGATAAACGTTAGTTATCTATATACGAATCTAAACGAAATCACTTCAAAGGCAAAATCGATGCTCAACTTCTTTGTTCTAATATATCTAGTTGAGAAGGATATGATATATTTGCCTTTCGCGATACAGTCATTAAATCAAGTACAGTTGCACCGAAGATCATAGTCTGAACAACTACGTACCATGCATATAATCAGAACGACACAGTAGCTAGATACTGATACATGTTTCGAATTAATTATGAAAATATATACATATAAAATATGGTTGTCTAATAACAAAGGTACGTAATAAAATATAAAATATACATATGTAAGTAGATTATCGTTTGTAATTGCCGATACGAAATTAAGGATCAATCATAATCGAAATGTATGTAATTTGAAATTCTACTTTGAGATTCATAAATTTCGCAATTTGAAACATTTTATTAACTCACAGCTACAACAAAATCGCACTTTTAAATACGCAATTGTACGATCGTAATTGAGGATATGGAATGCGAAAAGCCGAGACTTTCTTCTTTAGGACTTTATCTAAACTTCTTAGAATTTGAAGTGGACGTACCGAAAGTACTAATGCACTATAAATCGCATACTCGTACATATTAAAAAAAGATACTATATTGTTCTACATTGTACTTACGCGTATCCAGTTAGATACGAAACACGTGTGAGTGATTCATAATATAATAAAACAAATTCTTTGAAAATCACAAAGAACATTACAGTATATGGTTGATTTATTGATGACTAATTTGTAAAAGCAATGGTTAAAGATTCTGAGTGAATTGAAGTGAATTGAAATTGCTATTATTTCTATTTGACTTATAAAATACGAAATCTTTTTAAAATCTATGTAAAGTTATTATTTTATATTTATCTTGTGCAATCTGTTACATGCACGTTTGGTATTTTAGCAACAATTTTGAGCAGTATTTTCTCTCAAAATAGAATACCAAAACAGACAAATCGATTACGCAAAAATTGGCTCGTAAGAATACTCCCAATTGCACCGAATCGTTTCCGTATACAAACGGAATCAATGAAAAATAGGTCGACACAGTTAGTCACGTGTTCGTTGTACGCATGAGACAGAATATTTAGTAATTTAATTTATAGTACACTTATCGGATCAGTATAAATATGCTGTTTGATTTAGTACACATGTACCGTACCCGACATATGCAGAATTTCCGCTTTAGTAAGACGGAAACGTGATCAAATGACGTAAGGATGCTCTTGATGCGAACTTTGACCGTAATTATTCAAAACGATAAGAATATAAAATGATAGGACAAGAAAATAATTTCTTTTTTGAAATCTGTTGTTTTATAAATAATTCTATTTGATTTACGTGTATACGATATATATATATATATATGTTATTGATGCATTTACGAATAGATATAACTTATTATTAGAGTTAGCAGTTTATCGTATATATATTTATATATTCTTTCCAAGGAAAAAGTACTAGCTATTTCAAATGCACATTACTCGCATGATTTGTTAAAAAAAAAAGAAGTACACGTGTATTTATGTAATTTCTTTATTAAGGAACCAAAATGTACCATTTTATTTTATACATTCGTATTGTCATTCACATATTCCTGATATGGAAGCTAGATTCTTTAAACGGAACAGAATCTATCGTCGGAATCCCATCAATACATAATGTAGAAAACTCCACGATTTGTCGAGTAGGTGCTTTGTAAATATTTTGCCGTTGCCAAAACTCACGTAACGCGGGACTTTCAGTTTTTCAGATTGAACTTCCACATTTAGAAAATGGAATTGTAATTATAGAAAGACGATGTGTAAAACTTTGGTAAATTTGATAAAAAATCATTTTACTCGTGATTACACAGATGCATTAAAATAGAAAGTAAAATGGAAAACTCGACGCGTTCTCCAGTAGCACAAGAAAATAAAAGAGAAAGGAAGAGAGAATCGTAGCAACAAAACTACGTCTTTGACTTGTGAGAAAAAAGAGAACCGAAAATATAATACGTATTTTCCAGATGTAAAAAAAAGATTAATATGTTTCACGTTACATGCTTGTAAGAAATGTTGTTTGTCTCGTAGAAAAATTCACTAGAGGCAAAAAAAACATCACACGTGTGAATTTCTGTATTCGGAATTAGTATCAGTAAACGATCGAAGTGTAAAAGTGCAAAGAGATAGTAAATAAGTACTTGCGTCAAAATCGAAGCTAAACTTCGATCTTTATTCAGTGCAGTAGCCCTTGTCTGCGATCATCTGAGTACACCAGTCGCTCTCTCTCTCTCTCTCTCTTTACACTGACGGTGAGAGAAACGCATTTCTTTGGTGCAGTTGTACCGAGTTACGAGTACATTAGCACCGAGTGTGAAGCTAGTGCTAGAGTATCGACCCACAGCATGTGGTAACTCATTCTCCTTTCTCCGTCGCTCGTTTCTTTCTTGCTTCCTCTTGAAATGTCGGGCCTCGTTCACCTATTCTCTATCTCAATTCTTCTAATATAATTTGCTCCTTTCTCTTTCTCTACCAAGCCCCTTCTCTTTTCCACGCTACGAAATATAGATTTCGGCAAGGTCGAAATTTACAGAATCGTTCACGGGAATTTCAACCCTACGACGACGTGGTACATTGTTGTGCATGCGCGAGGAAATGCAGGAACGTGCTATCACATTGTCACGCCCTATCTCTGCAGCCAACATTTGAATCTGTCACAGATCTCTCGGACGCGCGCACCGGGACACTACCATTCTTTGAGTAATTCATAAACATGACTCTTCGATGAAAAAAAGATAATACTTGGCCTTCGAACTGTGTTGCGTGTCATGCGCGCAAATTGCAAACAGATACTCTGTCTTCTTCATTTATTCCTATCATCAGACTCTTTCCGGCCTCCGAAAAACAGTATTCAAAAAATCCCATAGTCATCAGTTTTTCCTACTCCGAGAAATTGATGCACTCTTATATAAGTCCTCATAATCTCAAGAGACTGAAATGTAATTTTTCAGCTCGGTAATCAACGGATCGACGCGATTAGTTAAGAAATAACTAAACTGTCATTGGTATGCATATTTGCAATATTTCCACTTTCCGTTTTCGCGATAAATTTTGAAAAATCGTAGATATTGGAGAAAAGAGTGGAAATAACTTCCATCTGGTTAGAGATAATTACGAATGAAAGAAAATATCCTGAGTCATCAGTAATGAAGGGGTAACGCAAAGCGCAGAACGCTTACGAGTCTGATCGCGTGGCTAGAATCTCGCGAGACTTCAACGTTCAAGACCAAGAGATGGAGGAAACGTGCAAGTGGAGAGGGCTCCGACGATTATAGTCGTCCCTGGTTTCGAGCCGGACAGCTCAGTTCATTCGGTTGGTAGAGGCGAACGGTAGTGCATAGCACGACAGCTGATTCTAGGGACAGTGTTGCGTTCTTTCTCTCCGCTGTCAGTCGCAGTTGACACCGTGGATCGGTTAGCTGCCTAACGATTTGATTCCCGCTTATGTGTCATGTTGTAACGGAGACAATCGCGATCCTACCAAGTACCAATTTCTTCGAAAACGAATGCAGCTTCGCGATCCGAGAACTTTCTCATCGATTATTAGAAAAGCTAAGACAAGGATTAAAGGCGCATCGTAACGATTCACTACGGCCTACCTACTTAGCTGCTTCTTCTTCTATCGTGATTACCGTACAATCACTATTTTCTTGTAAAACGCGACTGTTGTGCATGGTGGAGCGACCGAGGAAAGGGCGGAGAAGCAAAGGATGCACAGCGTCATCATCAGGGTATGATTTCGAACGCTGTTAGGATACCTAAATTTACCTTCGACCGATGGTGAGTTCAATCTATTTATAACTATCATAACGCTTGTTTAAACGATCTCGTTTAAAATTTTTAACACGAATACTCCGCGCACCCCTTCTACTTGGTGGCTTAACCACCCTCCTTTGTCTACTTCTCTTACAACTCGTAAATCCTCCTTTCTTTCTTTCTTTGTTTTCTCATTGTTTATTCGACGTTTTATCTTTTAAATTTATTTATCGAGATAAAATGAAATCAAGGTGTCGCCAACACCTGTATCCAAAAATTCATAACTTTTATATACATATATATATATATATATATAT